TTCTTTCTTTCTCTTTCCCTGATCCCCCCCCCCCTCTCTCTCTCTCTCTCTCTCTCTCTCTCTCTCTCTCTCTCTCTCTCTCTCTCTCTCTCTCTCTCTCTCTCTCTCTCTCTCTCTCTCACTCTGCATCTCTTTTTTCACTCTGATTCTCTCTCTCTCTCTCTCTCTCTCTCTCTCTCTCTCTCTCTCTCTCTCTCTCTCTCTCTCTCTCTCTCTCTCTCTCTCTCTCTCTCTCTCTTACACACACAGTTCGAATCTCTTTTTCTTTCTTTCTCCCCCCCCCTCTCTCTCTCTCTCTCTCTCTCTCTCTCTCTCTCTCTCTCTCTCTCTCTCTCTCTCTCTCTCTCTCTCTCTCTCTCTCTCTCACACACACACACACACACACACACACACACAGTTTGAATCTCGTTTTCTTTCTTTCTTTCTGCCTTTCTCCTTTTCTCCTTCTTAGCCTTGTCTCACACTTCTTTCAACTCCCCTCCCTTCCTCTCCTCCTGTGTCTTCATCTTCTTCCCTCTCTCCACTCTCCCTCTGTACCCACCCTCTTTTTCTGTCTCCCTCACATTTTTTTCCCTCTTTCTTTCTCTCTCCACCCTCTCTCCCTCTCTCTCTCCATCTGCCCATCTTCCCTGCACTCTCCTGCACTCCCTCTTGTTCTCCATTACTCTCTTTCTCTTTTTGTGTTGATATAGTGTATAGAAATGTCAGTCGTGTTACGTTATCATAAGTAAAGGATTTTGTTTTCTGCAAAGTACCTTGCATGATTTATCCAAATTGATAGAATTATTTACTTTTTAAAATTCATTTCCAACAATAGTGTGTGCATGTCCCATTTTAGATGTTTTTATATATATTTATATATGTACATGTATGTATATTTATATATGCATATGTATATATGTATCTATATATTTATATATGTATTTTGTATTTATATATATTTATACGTATTTATATATACACATCTATATATGGTATATATACACATATATGTACATATATAAGTATACATAAATATATATACATATATATACATATATATACATATATATACATATGTATATATATATGTATATATATATATATATATATATATATATATATATATATATATATATATATATATATATATATATATATGTAAATATATGTATAAATATGTGTGTATGTGTATATATATCTATATATACATATACACATACATTCATACATACATAGTCTGCAGAAAAATGAGTTTGGACAGTAAACAACTTATGCTTGAGTGACATCCAAAGATTTTGAAAATATTTTGATGGGAGCTCTTCAATTTTTTATAGTTGTGAAAGTTCTAGTAATGTCCCAGGCTCTTGGTTCTATTTTCCCACACCACTAAAGTGCAATCGAGTTACAGGCAGTGAAATCCAAATGTCTTGTCATCTCTCCATGCCCCTCTTTACCTGCCTTCTCTGTCCTGTCTTCTCTTCAGTTAAATGGGGAGGTCATGGGAATAACCAAAAACGTTATTTCAATTTGATACCGGACACAGTCAAGTATTTTCGATGCCTAGAGTTGAACAGGCATTATCTGCTTGATTTGGCTCCTCATATACCAAGATCCCTTCAAGTATGTATTGTGACATTCAGAGAAGAAAGTTACTATCTGTAGTATATTTTGGGGGTGGGGAATGATTGTTTTTTGACATACCCCATATTCCTTGCTATTTAGTTGATGGTTTTGCCACCTCTGTGCAAGATTACTATCAGAGTTTTCTAATTTTGGAGAGGGATTTGCCAGGCATAATGCTTTGGTTTGCCTGAAGTAAGAGAAGGGAAGAGAATGGGAAAATACAACCAAGAGTCTGGCTCACTGCTAGATGCATTAGGTTGCTTACTGAACACACACACATATATATATGTGTGTGTGTGTGTTTGTGTGTGTATAAATACATATATAACCACATGCATGGACACACACACACACACAAACACACTCACACTCACACTCACACTCACACTCACATACACCCTTGCACACACACTCACACATACACACATGCACATAGACACGCACACACACGCACACACACGCACACACACGCACACACACGCGCACACACGCACACACACACACACACACACACACACACACACACACACACACACACACACACACACAAATACATACATACATACATATATGTACAAATATATATATACATGTATGTACATGTGTGTGTGTGTGTGTGTGTGTGTGCATGTGTGTGTGTGTGTGTGTGTGTGTGTGTGTGTGTGTGTGTGTGTGTGTGTGTGTATACATACATACATACATACATACATACATACATACATACACACAAGATGTAGATATAGAAAGATAGATGGATAGAAAGATAAGTGAAATTGCCAGCAAAGATGAAACCATGCCAGTGGCACTCATGAATCATGTGTCTCTCCCACAGCAATGCCTGGGCCCTCGGGATCGGCAGGAGGACAGGACAGCGTGGGTCCTCATGAACCGGGCGGTAAGTACGATCTAGCCGTTAGCCTAGCCTGCCCTCCACCAGGCCTGTGTCAGTGCCTGTGCTCCAGACGCAGCTCACATGTAAACCAGTGTCCCCCTCAAAGTTACTGCCTTGTCATCAGCGGTTTGTCTGTCATCAGCGGCCTCTCTCCCTTACATGTCTTCTTGCAGTTTGCATTCCTTTAATTTTTTTTTTTTTTTTTTTTTTTTTTTCCTTTTTTTTTATTATTATTATTGTTATTAACTTTTTTTAACTTTCTCTTTTCCTTTTCTTAAGTTTTATATTGCCTATATCCTTCTTTCAGTTGTGTAGGTTCCATTAATTTTTTATTTCCATACATTATTTGTGATTATTTTACTACACTTCATGCCATGCTTAATACATTTATATATATTTATATATATCTGTATGAACTGATTCTTAGATATGCCTATATGTTTTATATATGTAATATAATTTTCTATAAATATATAACTTATTTTTATTTAATAGCCATTATTTCATTTGGTAATGACCATTTAATTTCACTGCTCTTTTATCAAAATTTCAATTTTCATTTTTAAAATGGCATGAGCAAAAAAGGATGTTTTAGTTTTCTTAAAAGGGACAAATTCCTTTGTAATACTTCTGAAAATGTTTATTCTTTCCTTTTTTGTGACTGACACGCTATTCAGTATGGCCAATCATCAGCCTCAGCGTTTGTTTGTTTGTTCAGAATTCTTAGCACTTGGCATAAGAAACATGACTTTTTCTTTTCACTTCAATCATTTAATACAGGGAGCCTCATTTGTATAGCAATATAGACTTGTCACAGTGTGGGTGCTCAGCCCTGCTCAAGCCATTCTGAGAGAGAGAGAGAGCACACTCGGAGATGGGGAAATTTAAGCAGACATGTTGGTTAATTGAATCCCACCCAACAGCAACAAAAGATTAATGAAGTATTTGAAGCCTGTGGTATGTTTTGTTTTTCCTTGATATTAAGAGCAGCATTAGACTTTTGCTTGATATCTTCTGCTGCTTATTGGCAGGGCTTCATAGTCCAGTGACTCCAATGCTTGAGCCAAACTAAAGATCATTGTAAAGAAAAAAAGGAATAAAGCAAATATGCCATGCATTTTTAGGCTCTGACAAGTGGGTGAGGGTCATTTACCAATGTGTTCCGCTGGCAGCTGATCCCTGATTACAGTGATCGATAACTCCCCTCAGTAAATGCTTCTGTGTGTTTGTATTGGGGGAATATGTACTATAGCTGGAGCCAAGTATACACACTTCTAGCTTCTCCATTGCTGCACCTCAGAGTCCTGTGTTTGCATACATGCACATGGGCATATGTTGAAGGGATGCTTCGCTTGAGCCTAGATTTCACTAGCAGCCAGACAAGCAAAGTGTTCCTTTAATGATGGCCATGGCAGTATGCAGTCAGTCCAACAACTAATGTTGTGCCTGTATTTAGAAGGGGAGATCAGATGAGCAAAACACACACACACACACACCATCATCAGTTTTATTTGCTGTTCTCTCACTAATAAAAGAGTTGTTCACTTGCACATTCCCCTCATCCCAAATTTGTTTGCAACATCATTGTACTTTGTCCATCACTTTTTTTTTTTCTTTTTTTTTTTTTTCTTTTCTTTTCTTTTCTTTATGTTGATGTAAATGTAGCTTAAGGCTTAAAAGCCATTGTTGACTTGTCTGTAACCACTCCCATGGTAATATGTATTGGCCTCAGTATTTAGGATAATGTGTACCCATGTACACTTCAACTTTTCCCAGAAGTTGCTGTTAGATGTCATCCACTAGATTAGACTCACATTTGCAAGTAGCTCCAGATTTAAAGATTGAAATAACTATTATCCTGTAAATTTCATTTTTTTTATTCTCAGGTTAATTACTCCTCTTTCAATATTATGGACCAGTGTACATATATATATATTTTAACATTAAAGTTACTGTAAACAGCCATAGTAGATTTTAGAAGAAAAGAGAACTAACATTTTCTCTCAGAATTGCCATTTCTGTCACTTACATCATTGGTCTTCAAATAGTAATAACTCTTAAAGTTGAAATTGATTGAATATTTCCTAAGTTGGTTCAGTGAATAGTAAATTTCATAATTTCCTGGTTACTTGAATATCAGAATTGGAAGCAAATTCTTTACAAGACTGCAGATATCTAAAGTTATTTTTGCAGGTGCTATAGTACTCCTGTAGGTGGGTGTTAGCTGTGAGTATTGACTACAACATGCATAGGCATTATTACTGTAACCAGGTGTGCAGAAAGTGGGTTTAGGTCATTGCACTTAATGAGAATATATTTCCAGATTAATTAATAGTTCTAATGATGATGAATATGAGGATGAATATAACCAGCCTGAATGTGGTGCTGTTTTCTAAATTCAAACTTCATTGCATTGCCACTTCTAAGATTAATGGTATAAGTTTTGTTTTGTCAGGAATGTTACTCTTTGGTTAGGAGGACTTTCCCAGGTATTGTGTAGTAAGTCAGGTATTAAGGCAAGACAGATTTTTAAAGAAATTTTGACAGGAATATCATTAGGAGTAGGAATGCCTTGGTTGTGTGCTTACATATACAATTAAGAAAAAGGTATCTTGCTAGATCTATCTTTGTGTCATATGAGGCTCTTACTGTCACCATGATGTAGTGGTTTATTATTAATAATGTTATCATTATGATTATAGTTATTTTTATTATCATCATCATCATCACCCATCATCCTCATTACTGTTACTTTTATCATCAATTTATACATCTTGAGAACTAGTCTCTGATTGGCATCTGTGTTAAATCCAGGGGTGTGCATAGTGCAGTTGTTCATGATATAGGGCAGCTTTGTGGAGAACATTGCTCAACATGGCATACATCCCAGCTGTGCTGGAGTGTGCCATTGATGTGTAATTCACTACTGAGCTGTGAGGCATATGCTAAGTGCAGGCACCCTTGTGACTTTTTTTTCTGAGATCTTTAACAGCTGTCAGCTTTATGGCTGAAATGTAATTCACATGAAAGTTTGCCAAAGAAAAAAGTAATTTTAGTTAATGGCTGTTAAACTGATAAGTGCTGTGGAGGGCAGTGCCTGTTGTTCTGCATGATGTGATATTTTTGTCTTTGATTAAGAAGAAAACATCAGTTTCCTTCATGTTGATTTATTTTTTTATATATATTTATTTAAACTGATGGTTTCCTATTAGTACCCCTTGTTTGTTTGATTCTAGTAGACTATGGATTACAGGTCTAATAGTGTGTTGTTGAGGGTTTGACCTGTGGTCCAGAGTCTCGTGCATGCTCCTCTCTGTACTGTAGTCCAGGGCCTAAGTTTAGTTGGTGAGTGTAGGGCAATAGGGACCGTTTTTGGCCATCTAGGGAGCCTATGGCCACGTGGCCAAATGACCGCCCACTGATTGTAGCCATCAGCGTGAAGAGGACTATTGGCTTAGCTTGGACCGTGGCTTTGCTGTGGCCCTTGTGCTGTGGCCCCCGCGGCCGCCCGCTGCTGCTTGTTTGGGTGGCCAGGTGTTGAGGGGCCCTGTAAGGCCCTTTGTGGCCAAGGGTGGCTTAGGATGGCCCAGGGTCACTGCTCAACCAGCCTCAAGTGTACTACTCTCACTCAGGAGCTGTCGGTGTTTGGCAACCACGCTGGGAACGTGATCATAATGCTCTTGTCATTTTGAAATGATTGATGATAAATAGACGGGCGGTGTTGGTGATGATGCCTGAGCCTGGACTGACTCATACTCACGTGGATCCTCTCCTCTGCAGCAGCGCCGGGCGGTGCTGTCTGTGAGGCTCTCAACCTGTCGCTGCGGCCGCCTCTACCCCAGGCCAACGGAACGCTGCATCCCCCGCTGCTCCACCACCACCACCACCATCAACCTCCACACCACCACCAACACCACCAACAGCTTCATCATCATCACCAGCAGCAGCAACCACCACCACCACCACAACAGCAGCCACCCCCAACTGCTGTTTCAGCTACGCCCATCAACCCTGCTGCCACAACTGATGCCTCTGAGACGTTTGAGGTGAAGTTTCACCCAGCAGTAGCAGTAGCGGCAGCTGCAGCTGCAGCCTCAGGACTGGTGTACCCTGAAGTTGCCCTAGACCTGGCGTCTGATAAAGTGGCAGGGCTAGTGACTTCTGGAGAGGCAGGGGAGGACCGCGGGATGCTAGAGGCATCACCAGAGTACAAGGCCAAGTTGTACCCATGTCCAGAGTGCCACAAAGTATTCCGCCACCCCATGTCTCTTCACCACCACCGCCATGTGCACAAGGGTACCTACACTTGTCACTCCTGTGGCAAGGTTTTTTCCCGACGCTGGGACCTCCACCGTCACCTGCACCGCTCCAAGATGGGCTGCCGCCGCCCAAACCATGTGACTACAGCTGCTGCGGTGGTGACCACAGCCCCTGGGACTGTCACCACCACCACTGCTGCTGCTGCTGCTGCTGCTGTAGCTGCGCACCGAGCCGAGTTCACTCTCGATCTGAACAACCCCCCTTCCAACTGACTGTGATATCACTAGGCGATACTAGAGCATAGAGACGTAAATATTGTAGAGACTTGTATTTGTTGTGTTGTTGCGACCAGTGCCACCATGTTGGCACTGCCTCTGTGATCACCAGCCAAAGATGGAGTGCAGGCGCCCCTGTCATACATATTATGCCGACACCACCGCGCCACGTCCGAGATTATGCCCACATTATTATACCCTTCTCAAGGACACACACACTCCGTTTTGGTCTGTTTGAGTTAAATTTAAGAGCAATGGAAAAAAATTCCCTCCTTGCATCATTGCTTGGTTTTTAGTCAGTTGATTTTAGTCATATAGACTGCCTGTATGTGATAATACCCCAGTGATGCTTATTAATTCTTCACGTTTTGGTTCTCTGTGATATTTGCTTTATTTTAGTTGCTGCCATTACCGTTCTGGCAACAGTTCCCTTAGGCTTATTGTCTCCTTACTCCCATCTCCTTTCCT